AGTGACCACTCGGCCAGTGAATTCTATTACCCGATTATTTCTGATGCTGAAAACGACGGGAACTGGTCAAATGTTACCGAATTTGAGGAACAAGAACAACAAAACCAAGACTACTGTCCCAACAGTCAAGAGCAAATTGATGCATTTGTAAATGAGCAAAAGAGTGCCAACACTGCGAAGAAAACGACATCAGATATGAACATTCTTCGTCGCTACATGACTTCAATCAACATGGAAAATATACAAATAGAAAACTTACCGACCAGCGAGCTCAATCACCTTCTATCAAAGTTCTTCATGGAGGTTCGCAGAAAAGACGGGAAAGAAATATGAGCCAGATACAGTTTCCAGTCTCCAAAGAAGTATACAGAGATACTTAAGTGAAAAAAAGGCAAATGTCAACATCTTTAAGGATAAATGTTTCGAGGAATCTCGAAAAGTTTTAGCTGCAAAACGCCGGTCGCTAGCCCACTCGCATGGAAAAGGCAACAAACCTCACGCTRCAGATGCACTGAACGACGTAGAGGAAGATGCGTTGTTTAATTCTGGTGAATTTGGAATGGATAACCCTGTTTCCCTTCAAAGAACCATTTGGTGGTTTCTCTCACTTCATTTCGGCTTCGAGCCAGGGATGAAAGCCGAAAACTTTTTTTTTCTTTTTTTTGAAAGCCGAAAACTTCGGTGGGGTGACGTCGCGTTACAACAAGATCCAACAACAGGTCAAGATATCCTTGTATGGCTAACCGAAAGAGGCACTAAAACGAGAACCGGTAAAGAACACGGCCACCAAAGAGCTTTCCAACCCAAAATATTTGCCACTGRCAACAGTAGATGTCCAGTTAAATACTTCAAAGCGTTTGAGAGCCATCGTCCTTCCGAGATGAAGAAATCAGATTCACCAYTCTATTTAGCGGTCAGACATCATAGAAAGCCAACCGATATGATCTGGTACATGAAGTATCCTCTTGGCAAAAACGAAATAGGAAAATCCATGGGAAAGGCAGCAAAGGAATCTGGGCTAACAAGTTCTGGGAAAAACCTTACAAACCATTCCGTACGTAAAACATGTATTTCAAGGTTGCTGGATGCCAACGTCCCAGAAACGTTCGTAGCCCAACTGAGCGGACATAAAAGTAAAGAATGTCGGCGACCCTGAGTAGAACAGATGAGCAGACTCTAGCCATAGTTCCCTCTTCCGTTCTTCAGCATTTCACTACAAACACGTCTACAACTACCATGTCAACATGTACAGCTACGTCCTTCGACAACTCTTTGCAGGGTTTAACCTCTGATCCTGTACTTTCTCAAGCAATGTTTYCCAGTGCCAACATCAATAACTGCACTTTCCAAATATATAATGGTCCATTCACAGTTCAATCAGAAAAGAGAAAACGGCGAATTATTGAAAGCGACGATGAGGACCAGTGAGCTTGTTGGACTCTAGCCAACTCKSKTGAACAGGATAATCTGAACGTTTCTTTGAACATTTCAAGTTTGTAGACATTTAGCTTTGACTTTAGTTAATTTCAGATAAATTAAAAAACCCTTTGTAATCATTTCAGCACAAAAATAAACTATTATTTACAGAATTTATAAACACTTGGTCTGCCGTGTCGTTGCTTTAGATCTAAGGGCATGCGCGTGTTTACAGGAAATCGTTTTTAGTTGTCTAGACCGGAAGTAGTACTTTTCATAAAAAAAGCCATATAATAAACGAGTTATTAACCTCGCTTGCTCGGCCTGTACGGGAAAGACCTCGGTCTGATATTTTCCCGTACAGACCTCGCGCTCGGTTAATAACCTCTTAGTATTGCACACTTTTAGTGTTTGCACTCTATTGTCCTGATTTTAATAACTGTTTGTACAGTTAAAATCATTTAGTACAAACAGTTAAAATGCTTAATACATGCACAACCTGAAAAATAGTCCAGTTCAAAAGCGTTTAAAAATTATGCAAATATTTATAGAAAGACTTTTGAAATTACCTCATACTCTTTTCGTAACTGCCATTTCAGTAAAAGAGAGTCATCTTTCTTTATTTCTTCAAATGCTTTGGATATACTGTGTTCTTTGAGCTGACGGAGTTTACATAAATTTATTTTTTGAATTCGTTGCTGCTCTAGCATGAAAAAAAATTCAAAAGCAGAATCGCTGATATGGAGAAGACCTCTTTCTCTGTACTGTCTGTTTTCAGTTACCTGTAGAGTGTCTGGGTATTGGGTATTCTCTTGAAGTGCAGAATAGGGAATTATGATATTATCATCAAGTAGGTTACATTTTGTGTGGTACATCTTTACTTTTGAACTAGTTTCTTGTGATGTTGTATACATGTTTGTTTTTACATAGTCCCTACTTTGCTCTAATACTTTACGTACGGCCCAAGCTCCAACATTGCGGACTTTTGATTGGCCCTCTTCTGACATTTGATATACACTGAATGGGAGGCTTTCCTCAACCTGTAGGATTCTGACTTTAGAGGCTACATTCTCCATAAAATTTATGTATATTTTTTTGACAAGTTCTGCTCCAATTGTAGTGTGTAGAACAGACAGCTCAGAACTAGCAAACAATACTTTCATGTACTTGACAAACTCATCTGAACCCAAAAAAGTATGCAGTTCACCAGTGGCCTCTGTAAACCCTTGTCAAGTTTTTCTGCAGTATATGTTTGTGGTGGCATAGAAAATATTCCATCATGCTCTTCTAGCATTCCATAGACAGTGGCAAGATCTTCAGGGACAATAACTTCGGGCCTTTCAAAATAGCTTTCTAAAATATTTAGGATACTACGCGCGCTGTGATTGGTCGAAAACCATGTTTGATTACAGTATCAAAAAACGCTGGCGCGCGTCAAAAATTTCTTTTATTCTTTTAATATTAGAAAAGAAATAAAAGACGGAATTCCGTGTTTGATACTCTGATCAAAACACGCGGGATGTAGGGAGAGCACGAGAGAAGCGTAGCGGAATTTCGTCTTTTATTCCTTAATTCTACCACACCATCCAAGGTTTCTAGAGGTGGTACGAAATCTTCATCAGCATCATCAGAGCGAATGAAATAGTCACAAACATCAAAGAGTTTACCACTGAGTTGCTTCTTATAACAACATCGTTGATTTTSTAAGCATTGTCCTGGTCTCGTTGCATTCAATTCTAATACTTCTTGGGGGGTTTCAACAAAAAGTCAGGTGAGAAATCAACTAGTTGAATATGATGGGATGAGCGTACGCGCGAAGTGGCCACATAWGTCAGTCCAGACACAAAYTCCTGGGAACAGTGAACTACCGCCGCGCGAAGGGTCTGTCCCTGGGATTTATGACAAGTGATAGCATACGCTAGCACTAATGGGTATTGCGTTAAAGAACCGATTACGTTGCCATTCCTGTCACGTTTTAGCCACGTCTCTCTGTGAATCTTTGTACGAACYCCTGCAAAGGATACAATTGGTATCCCTCCCTCAACTCCTATAAAGTTTCCTTGACTGCCATTTTTGAGAGTAGACGATTTATTCCAAGTTAGCATTACCCGACAACCAGGTTTGAGTAGGAGGATATCATCTGCTTGACATTTTAAGTCAGATGTTTCCCCTTCCTTGCTTGCTTCGTAATGGACATACTCCCCTGTCAGAGTTTGCAGGACTGAGAGGTTGTATAACTGCGCAGCAATCCTTTTGAAAAATATATGTACAGCCACAGAAAGCAGACTTTCATTGAGTTCTCTAGAGAGTGAGCAAAGGTAATCGTTCTTTTCCGCCGAAATAGTTCCCATCCTAAGATCCTTTAATGCAGAAAGGAATTGCAGGTCTTCTTCGTCTTGGCGCATAAGCCGTGTCAGGGTAAATGTATGTGGAATTGSTGCTTGGAAGAGGGAGATTCGAACATAAATCTCCCTTCATCTAATTCGCTAGCGACAGGCCTTAACTGCAGGAAATCCCCAACTATRACTATGTTTTCCTGCAAATGGGTGACAATTGTCTTAACCAGCAATTTCGTGTTGAATGGCGTTGCATAGCTCAAGGAGTCGACGACTTGWTAAACTGGCCTCGTTCCATATGATAGTGTCAACTTTTTCCAATCGCTGACGGACCAGGTTGTTCCCAGTCGACCTTTCGATAACACCTTTCGCTGGTAATTCTGCTGTATTGAGGCCATAGAAAGAGTGTACTGTTGACGCATTGAAACCAGTACTACCATAAACAGTACAATAAAGTCCACTGGAACATATGACAGCCACTGATTTCACTGGACAAAGCTTTTTAACAAGGTATGACTTTCCCGTACTGGCTTGACCGGTAACGAGAACATTGTGGCCTTTGACGACAAAGTCGAGCACTACCTCTTGCTCATCAGTCAACCTATCGCATTAAATTACAAAATTTGTAACATTTATTGTTGACAATGTTATACAATCCAAATGAGATAAAGTTCAAAAGGATTTTGACTACTCAATTTCTGTTGTAGATACNGAAAAGGAAACAAAGCGCCAAGTATTTGTTGAAAAATCGAAATTTTTTCCTTAAACATTTATATTACATATTGATAATATTAGAACAATTAATCACAAGGAAATATACAGCACAGAAATATTCCCGCCAATTTTGTCATAACTTCGACGCGTCCGCACATCCGGGAAATCGAATTGCGAAGATGAAAAGCAATTTAGACCCATCTTAGAGTGATATTAGAAAAAAGGATATTACTTTGATATTTCGACAACAAGAAATATATGATACTTTATTGGAAATACTTCAATAATATGGACCAATATGGGAAAAAGCAGGGATCTATGCGAAGTTCTTTTGTAGACTAAAAGTGTGGACATTTCGAAACCAACACCATGCTAGCAGTTAGATTGAGAGAGATTAAAAACAAAGAATCTACAGTCTTGAAGATGACAGAACGATAATTTATCGGAAGTTCGATAATGAAGGTAAAAAATATATTTTTGTATACAGTTTTCTGTGATATGTGAAGTTCGAGTAGTCCGGGTTCAAACATCGATTACGGAAACAATGTTGATTATTGTACGCTTATGTAGGCTACTTTTTGCCAAGAAGCTTTCAGTTTACTTTTAATCAATTGATCTTTATAGATTATAATATTAAACTTAATCCAACGGAACAAAATCTACCGAAGTCAATATTAGTACGAACTAAATTCTCATAAACATACTCAATACATAATATTTGTGCGCATGTCAACAAAACTGTTGTAGCTCACATTCCTTAGAACAGAGCATCTACCTTTGAAATAGCAGTACYAGATAATMATTTTCAGCTTCTATATTGCTATTGGAGCTCCGCTATTAGGTGTTACCTAATTTTATATTATTATTAAAAGTATTTCCAGAGATTATCTTTGATTTCTAAAATGTGTGTGTACGTAGACAGTCGAAGTTTTATGCATGCCACTTTAGCTGGATAAGCATATAATTACTCGGGGTTCCAAAGGAACGGCGAGTTTAAATTTCGGCTGTCTTTTTCTTTTTCATCATGACGTATTTCGATTAAAATTGTCATCGGCCAAACTAGAATGCACTGGGTACGAATGAAACCTATCACATGACATTGACAACTTCCATGTGTTTATGGTGGCGAATTTATCGTGAAATTTATCGTACTGCCTATCCTGAATTGTATACCAAAACAAGCTACCTATCTTATCTAAAGTGAACTATTATAACTGGTTATACAGGCTCTGAAACTACAAAGGACTTCTGTAAGGAATTCGAACAGAGTCCTACTGAGGAAAAACCCACGATTGGATGTATTTTATTTAGCGGAGAAGATAAAAGACTGTGTTTATAGCCTGCCATGTCATTACTATCTATGTGAGGACGGCTTGCTACCAAAGATGATAATACAATTTGAAAATATATCATTGTGATTATTAAATAATGGCAAAATTAATTCAAACATAAATCAGTAAAAATAATTAAAAAATATTAACTTTACAAATAAAGGGTGATATTCATGGGTACTATGCAATGCCTGATATGCAAAGTATATTTTGATGTACTGCATAATTCGCAAGTGTGAACGAGCCTTACCAAAGTAACTACGAACGTATACAAACTTTATGGATATAACAATTTACGCTATGATAAAGATAAGATAAACTTTATTTAACGTGGTCAAATACACTTAGCTTATAAAAATATTGCTAATTTACAGGTATTGCCACAAATAATCAAAAATAAAAAAAATAAAAAATAAAAGATAAGTATAAGTACAGCCTTTTGCAAAAATTATGAGAATTGTCTAAATATCTAAATATCATAATATCCATATCCATATATTGTCTGGAACACGCGGGTTTGCTAGAATAATTCATTGTTGACATCGAGATAATGTTCAGAGCTACGGATAAATCTGTCGCCAAAAAAAAAACTAAACTACAAAGACAAGGGACTAAGAGCATCGCGGGGGATCACCCATCATTCACTCGATATTATGATATTTAGATATTTCGACTATTCTCATAATTTTTGCCAAAGGCTGTATAAATATATAGTATATAAATATAAAAAATTGAATATCTATGCTAAATGTTTATATTGCGGATTCACTACTAGATATTTATCAACAAGAACCCCGAGTTCACACAGCTATGCGTCTAGTTGACTATAAATATACCATTTCTACTAGTCTTTTGTTATCAATTCCCTGTGATTTTTGTATAGCTTCATACACAAAGCACAAAATAACTTGCAAAYAATTTAATCCCAGAGCTAAACGTCAGGCAGTCGATTTTTTTGCGAACAATCGTCGGATCAACTGTAATTTCAATTAATACCACAAGAGAAATGGAATAAAGACCGAAATAAGGGTCTTGTCAGAAATTAGCAAGGGGAGGGGAGGTGGAAATTGAAACGTGGGTACTGGGACATACCAGAGTTGTGGAAGTGAAATTTTGTAGCTCTCCCTGTATCAGACTGTTCCACTTCAACCATTATCACAATAATTTATCATTGCCCCCAAGCAGTCAGTGAATGATTATGCAGGGCTTATAATTGGACCATTGTTTCTTCAATTTGAAGGGATAAGGATTAGGAKATTTGATAGGCAGTTAATACTAATAACTCTACAATGCAAATTTCTGACAAGTACCATATTTCGATATTCTTGGGTTGCACGTTACGTCACCAAGGTTATGCATAATTAACAATCCGTCATGTTGGATGATAACCACATCCAAAATGGCGAAGAATAGAATAGAAGCTTTATTTATGTACATGGTAGCAAAAAATGCTAAATTGCGTACAGTACTACTTAAAAAATATGTGATAATAATAATAATAATAACAATAACAAAAATATAAAATATTTTATTTAATGTATTAAATATACATTAACTAATTGATTAAAAGACTACTATATACAATCTAAGAATTAGACTAATTAGAATAAAAGGACTATATAAACCTATAAACCTATACAATGTATTATATAAACTAATTACTTCACACGCTATTATTGTTGAAGGAATTGTTATGAAAAGTGACGAAACAATTCTTTGATCTGTTGGTTTTGAATTTAGTGTTGAATGTCCTTGTTCTCCTGAGTTCGTACTTTGCTTCGTGGCGCGGAGGCACAAAATGATGAAGTTTGTGATACTGGTCATTAACGATTTTATCAAACAACGAGCTGCCAATAGAACTGTAATAGTCGAATAGAGGGAGCGTGTTCAGTAAAGCTAGTGACTCTTCGTAACTTAAATGAGGGTAGATAATGGCGAAATCTCTCTTTTGAATCCTTTTCAATGTCATTATGTAAGTACTTGGGTAAGAAAGAATGGAAGACTGGTACAGMATAATCAACGACTGACCTAAGACAACTTGTATAGAATCTTAGTAAATCTGGTTTGATTTGCCCTCTTAAGCTGTCTAAGAAAATAAAGCCGTTTAGATGCTTTCTTTATGGTTTCTTCGACGTATAAATTCCATGTAAGATTGTTCGTAATGGTKACRCCTAAAAGTTTCGCACATTAGACAACTTCAAGGGCTTGATCGTTAAATGACCAATTATGGTAAGTCAGCGTTATTCTTGGAAAAGGAGATACGTATTTCTTCATCTGTTCTGAGAAGACCAGACCTCCAATTTGTCTACAAAGTTTTGGGCGATACTGGCTTTACCTTTCRGGATGACTTCTGAGATCGTCGTGTCATCGACGTGCTTCCATAAGGAAGAGCCGTCAACTGACAGATCTTTGATGATAAAGATAAAGAGCCAGGGGCCCAGTTCGGTTCCCTGGGGAACGCCAGAGGGGACCATTTCCCACTCGGATACACATTCATTCACGAGTTTGATTCTTTGCTGTCGGTTGGTTAAGAAATCAATTATCCAGTTAATAATTGAGTTAGGTACGTTATAAGGGTCTTGTGATCTATGAGGTCAAAAGCTTTCCTATATCCAAACAGGACAGCTCTGACGGTAGAGCCATTAACATCAGTGGCGTTGGTTCAACAATGAATCATTTCCAACAGAGCCAGGGTCGTGGAGGATTTCGGAACAGCACCATATTTGTAATCGTCTAAAATTTCCAGAGCAGCATGGTTTGACGTATWTACTGACTACAAGATCCTCAGCTAATTTGGATAGACATTGTGTAAGAGAAAGCGGACGCAGATCTTTTCTCACGTCTTTGATTGTTTTTTTTTCGGCATAGTTTCCACATGCTTGGAAGTCGTTGTTTGCTGAACGATGCGTTCAAGACTTTGCAGATAGGAAACGTAAGGAGGATGGCGTATTCCTTCAGTAACCAATTTGGAATAGCGTCCGGACCACATGCTTTGCTTGGATCTAATTTAGATAACAGTTCGAA